GCTCGTAGACATTGTGTTGTATACATTGCATTTCCCCTATCTACATTTGCTAGGAATCCATCACATTCACCATATATTGTCCTTCATTACTTGCAAATGTTTGATGTATTTACTTGGAAGTTGATGTTGATTGCAAGGAGGTTGTTATATTTGTTGTATATCTCCCATGTCCTACTCATGAACATACCATTGCATTGAACATATCATTGCATTCATTGCAATCTTCTTGTTTATGCTTATGGGAAATGTCATTGTTTGCAGGTTAGTATGTTCATCGTAGATGAGTTGCATTCATCACTGATTCCTATTGGCAAATTATTACAGTCATTTGTATATCAACTTCCATTGTTCACAGGGGATTGGTGCTTTTGTTAGCAAGTTAACTAACAGTAGTGGTGGATAGGCCGCATTTATTAGCATGCTCGTTAGAAAATCCTTTAGCAGGTTTAGCACATTCATTAGGAGACTTCTTTTGCGAACTAATACATTCATTGTGTGTTTTATGTGGTCACCTTTAGGCAACTCGTTACTTACATTATAAATTCTCTTGCATTATGAGCAAATCATCATATTCATTGCAAATTCCTGTAGTTACTTGTAGGTAAGCTATCATTATCACCACAGATCTTTTTATTTTCCATGTTTTTTTAAAATATTAAATCACACATTTCAAAATTTCTTTTTAATTGCATTTTAACTTGGTCATCCAATTATGTTCAATTCCCTGTAATTTGCTTAAGTCCGGTTCTTTGTCAGTCTGAATTTCGGCAGCCTCTCGGCATCTCCCCCATTAAGGGGAATTTTTGAGAGTTTAAGCCTGCTGACCACGTCAAGAAAGACATGCATGATTGGCGTCGGGTGACATAACCGCTGTGATCTTCTACCCCATCACACTAAGAAAGGCATGAATATGTTGCAAGGGTACCTGCACAAAAGACTTGCAAATTTTTTCACCGGCCTGAAAGCATGTACAGGTACTTAGGTTTTACCCCACCACGCTAAGAAAAGCGTGCACAAGCATTGCACTGAGCTCCCTCCCACTACTCTAAGAAAAATGTGCATAGGTGGTTTGCTAATTGTGCCACAAGCGCCGAAAACGGGATTTGGAGATTTTTTTGAGTTTAGGGAATTTATGCCTTGCACGAGGGAGGCGACGATAATGATGTCAAGGGCATGAGAGATCAAATCGCACAAAACACTCTCTCTCCTTGTTCTTTTTTTAAATTAATACTACTACTACTAATAATGTTAGGGAAAGAAAGCAGAGGGAATTCGGTTTGTAATGAGTGGTGGAAGGGTTCACGGAGAATTTGCTTGCAGAGAGATGGTAGGTTTTTAAGTATCAAGTGTTGGATTTGAAAAGAGATGGGCTGTTTGTAGAGTTTTTGGGCTGTTTTTAGAGTTGCTGGAGTGTGGTTTTGGCTAGTGGAGAATAAGGAGTGCAGAGTTTGGGCTGGTTTGTAGGCTGGCTGCAGAGCTATGTAGGTGAGTTGTTTGGGCTGAACAGAGTGAGGATAGTGGGCTGAAAATGGAAATTTATGTGGGCTGCTTGGCTTGTTTGTCTGAGTTAGGTTGCTGGAGTACAGGAGTGGAATAGATGTTGGCAGCTTGTGAGGATTGGAGTGGTGGGCTGATTTTAAGTAGGCCGGTTTTGGAGTGCAAACCAAGGGAGGAGCAGCTGCAGGTGGCTGTTTGGGTTTGTGTAGGTGGCTGAAAATGAAATGAGCTGGCTGAACTTTGGGCTACAGGTGGGTAGGAGATGAGAGAGATAGAGGATTTGGTGGGCTAGAGAAGGCTTGAACTATTTGAAGATGTATGTTGCTGGAGTGGTTGGAGTTAGCTTGGTTTCTTGCTGTGTATGAATCCAGAGAGCAGGAGAGGTAATTGGCATGCTGCCGTGGAGAGGAGGGGCTGATGTAGTGGAGAAGAGGAGTGTTGTAGAAGGTGTTCAGGTAGATGAGGAAGAGTGGAGGTAGAGAGCTGTTGGAGACGTTGCTTGGTCGCAGCAGATTGGAAGGAGCAGCTCAGTTGCAATGTTTCACATGAATGAAGGGGATGCGAGTGGAGTAGTGTTGAATTGAGAAGAGGAGTTGGGGGCTTGTAGCTTATGCAGGTAGGTGTAGTTGCGTGAGAGAAGTGTGCGTGAGGATGATTTAGATTAGGATTTTGTTTTTAAATAAAATACATATATATTAATATGGATTTATTTAAATTTAATACATTATCATTATTAAATAATAATAAAAAGAGCTATGAATTGATCCCTGCAAACTCCCTCGTTTCTTGGGCATCTCAGTTCATGTGCATTGCCTTGAAATTTGTGCCATTTTTTTCCGCTTGTGGAAGGCCCCATGTAATTTTACCGCCATTTCTAGCTATTTTTGACGTTCCGGACGCAACGACGAAGTTCATTTTGCGAACGGACAGTGTTCGGGTAACTCCGCACAATATTTCATTCATAGTCCGTCGATTTTGATCACCTTCAATGTCATGGGCAATATTACACCATTTTCTATAAGATTTCGACATTTGGGATACAACAATGAAGTTCGTTTTGTGAATGAGTGATGTTCAAGTAACACCGCACAACATTTCATCTGTAGTTCGTCAATTTTGATCACTTTTGATGGCATGGGCAATATTACAACCTTTTCTATATGATTTTAACGTTCTAGACGCAACGACGAAGTTCGTTTTGTAAACTGATTATGTTTGGGCAACGTCATGCAATGCTTTGTTCATAAACCATTGATGTTGACCATCTTCACTCAATTCAACTGCGATGGGTCATTCTTTAGGTAAATTTGATGCTCTAATCATACCGGGGTAGTCCGTTTGAGATCAGAGGTCATTTTGATAGTTTTACTAGAGTCGCGCTTGCTAACAGTATGCTCATCATCATTTTCGATTGAGTTATGCATGACTGACTCTTCCTTATCAAATCTGGTGTCTTGAGTGCATTAGTGCGTTCTATTTCATGATTAGATAAAGTTTTGAGCCATTTTGATGGCGATCGAGGTGTCTCGATGCTCTGATAAGCGACATATATGTTAGTCGCCTTCCTCAATGTACTCGCTTAATCGTGAAATATATATAGAAGTCAACAGTATCACATGCACCCATTGGTTCTGTTGTGAAGTCATACCTACAAAACTTACTAAGTGATGATCTAAGGAATCCAAACTTTCTTCGGTTCCTTAGTGTGGTGGATATATGGTATGAGATGCTATGACTCATTTAAGAGTCCATTTGAAATGAGTTCTCATAAGTTTTCTATGAATGCACATATGTGTTAAATGATCTGAATTTATACTTCCAACCTTGGCGATTAAGTTCATGTTCAACTTGGTAGGCCTATTCTTTTGAGTCATGAGTTTTAGATTCATTAGCAACCTTCACATCTTTCTCATATTTAATAATTACATTCCTAAACCTAATTTTGCCATCATCAACATCATCTTTCGAGTCGAGTTTAAATTAGCTTCAACAAACACCAAATGAATATGCTCGTTAACAATTAAAGTTATTTTTTATAAATCCGACAGTACTTGATTGTTGAAAAATTCCTCAAAATATTGTTTCATTTTATATAGTTTTAAATTTTCCCTTTACTACTACGCAGAACACTTGCACCCGAAGATTTCAAGTGTTAAATGTTAGTTTTGTGGCCTTTTCATAGCTCATGAGCCGTCTTCTTAAGATTTTCTATTGGTAATATTGCTTGGTACACAGCAAGTCATTTGTACGGCTTTAGCTCAAATATATTGTGGAAGATGTTAGTGAAGCTTACTGCACCATTTCGACTAGGGTTCAATTATTCCTCTTTACAATCCCATTATGTTAAAGCATTGCTCATTCATTGGCTCAATTTGCTTCATTATTTATAGTTTTTATTCAGACTTTTCGTTTGCTTCGTAATATGTGGATTCTGTTCGGTGGCGAAGTTTGTTTTTTCTTCTTGTTTTTTTCTCTTAACCATTCCCTATTTATGGTCTGTCACAAACTTGCATGTCAGCCTTATGTTTACTTCTTCTTTTTTTTTTTTCACACCTCTACCCTGGCAGCTATGCATAGGAGTGTAAGTGAGCCGAGTCGGATCACGAGCTGGCTCGAGTTCGACTCGTTTACAGGCTTGCGAGCCAAGCTTATCGAGATCATGAGTCGAACTCAAGCTCAAACCCGCGCTCATTTATTAAATGAGCTCAAGTTCGAGCTTGATTGAGGCTCGGCACGAGCCGACTCGATTGACTATTAATATTTTTAAAATACTTTTTATTTTATTAATAATAAATATTTTAATCTTCCCGCCTAATCCCGCCTAAAATACTTTAACCATACTAGCGGTGACGTATGCGCGGATGGCTGATGGAATGAGCGCTGATGGCGAATGGGATAGTAGCATCTGCGCGGTTGCGTCTGCGCGTGGCTCGAAGCGCGTGTGTGCCGATGGGAAGACGTCGGTTGCAGATGAATTCAATGGTTGAATTCATACGCTGAATTCAACGGTTACGAAAAGACGCGGACGGTACTTACGGTTGCGCTTGAGCTCATAAGCTTGATTCAACTATACGCGGTCGGTCAAACGGCGGGCGAATTCGATGGTTGAGCTCATACGCCGAGGCTTGCGAACTGGCTCAAGCTCGCCTTTTGAGCTCCTCGCTTTTTGAATGACGAGCTGAGCTCGATAGTGCTGAAACTCGACTCGACTCAACTCGTTTACGCCCATAGCTGTGCATGACCAATTCTATGTACTCAAAGCATCATCATATTTTTCTCTTTCAAACACTCCACTTAACAGATGACATCTAAAGAATTTACTAGTTTTATTTGGTGCATTAATTCTATCATCTAGAGGTAAACCTCATCTTTATCTTAAGAAAGGTTCAAACTAAGCATTTCTATGTCATGTGATGGGAATCCATTGCTGAAATATGATATAAATTGAAACTATAGGGGGAATGAAATTCATCACTTAAATTTATTATAAATTGAAACTATAGGGATGAAGACCATGATAGAATTGACAAAACAATTGATTGAATCTGCATCTACGCTGAAGCCTTCTAAAGTTCATGAGCAACCATTGCATGGAGCAGCTATTAAGGAGGAGAATGCGGAGAAGAAAGTGGAGGTAAATAAGCAGATAACGCAGACACAGCAAAGTGAAATTCTAGCTGCGTCAGGCAATTCAAGAATTGTTACAAAACAGAAGGTAGAATCGAAGGTAGGAAAACTTGGCACAGAAGGGGCTTCAAGAGGAACTTTTGTGGTGGGGGGGTCACCACTTGGTTGGAACTTTCTTCTCTACCCTGGACCCAAACTGGTTTACTATGGCAGAACAAAAGCAAGCGTGCTTGCCAGCCGTGCTTCCAAGTAAAACGGTTCTGCTTGCTTGTTATGTTTCCTCAATATCTTTTTGTGAGCATTTTTTGGTATCAATATTAGAAAAATAGAAATTTAGTATTGATATTTCATGTAGTTATATTTTGATTGGAAGCTGCTTTTGTCACTACACAATTATCTTTATTTAGGCATCGTTTGAGATAACTTTTTACTTCTTCTTAAAACAACTTTTTAATTTTTATATGAAAAAGTTGATTTAAGAAGAGGCTTCATTTGGCACGGTTTTCTTACTGCTTCTTAAAACTTTTTTTAGTGCAAAAAAAATAATTTTTGTACTAAAAGATTACTTTAAAAAACAGTAAGAAAGCCGCTCCAAACGAAGTCTTAGATTTAATTTGTACCACTTTTAAATTGTTTTCTAAAACAACTTTTTAGTACAAAAATTTCTTAAACTAAAATATTTTGTACTAGAAAGCTGTGTAAGAAAGTAGTAAGAAAGCGGTCTCAAGGCTTCGTTTGGGACAACTTTTTTATTGCACCTTAAAGCAACTTTGTAGTGAAATTTTTTTAATTTTTATACTAAAAAGTTGCTTTAAGAAGCAGCAAGAAAGCCGTCCCAAAAAACCTTAGTTTCATATTTTTGATAATTTTAATGTAGTTTGAAATAACTTTTTCTTCATGACGGCCCATTAAATTCATTCTCATGGTATTCGAATAATTTCTTTCAAAATAAATAAAAATCGCATGAAAATAAAATGATTTTTCTTCTATTTTTCATTTAATGTCTTTGCTTAAAAAACATTTATGATTGCTATCTAGTTTATTTTCTTCAAAAGTTTCTAGCATAATAAATAATCAAATTGGGTCAATGCAAGTCATGATTTAAAAATTTTGAAAATAAAAAATTGATATATATATATATATATATATAATGTTTCCATTCCAAGTCATTAGCTTTAAAATTTGCTTATAAATATATTTCTTTCTCTAATGTCAGAGTTATATGAAAGTTATGGGTAGCTTTAGCTATCAATTAAGGGGGTTTTGGAATGGAGTTTTGTATATGTGATGTGTATATGTAAAGTGTGTATGAATTTATTTTAAACAGCTTATCTATGTAAAAAGTTGTGTTGTCGGACAAGAAATCAGATAGCTCCAGTAGATGGAGAGTACATCTTGCGCATTGTTTTTCTTACATTTACTAAAAAAAATAAATGGTTTTTGAAATGAATATAATATGATATGGCACCAAAACCTGCTTGATCTGGCATGAATCTCGAAAATTTTTCAGAAATTAAAATTAGGACCATTTTGATTTCAATAAATTTATAATCAAATTGAACATATCAAGAAAACGAACTCAAATAGATCAAAATTGATGAATTTGAGCCCAAATGAGCCCATATCAAAGGATCAAAGAATATTTAAAAACTTCAAAATATTACTTGGATTATCAAATGATCTCTAAATATGTTATACTTATAGTCGAATTGAGCAGTTTGACAAGACGAATCCAACGAGACCAAGATCGCTTAATTCCAACATCATTAAGGCGTGCAAATGATTGACAAACTCTCCATGATCAAGAGAATCAATAAGGATCATTTGATGAAACACTCTAAATTCGCCACAAGGCTTCTCCATATTTACCTTGCATGCTACTCTTAAAATCTATAAATAGACCTCCTATTCTCACATGAAAGGGGGGTTGGGACCTTTGGGGAGCTGGGACATTTGGAAGCTTATACCTTAGGGATAAAGAAAGGTATAAGGTTTAAAGAATCGTGGAGCTCCTCCCCTACACCACCGTCGACAAACCCTTGCCATCGGACACCGTTGTCAAACCTCCACTCGATCGTCACTGTCGGACCTTTGTCAAGCGCCCATCACCGGGTCTACCTCCGACCAATGTTTCCCACTTACTATAATCCCTTTGAATATCATTGTCTATCGACTATGTTCCCTCCAACCACCCTCGCCCGTCGACTACATTACCTTTAGCTAGTGTCACCTATCAACTACGGTCAATCTGACCACCATCGCTATTCAATTACAATCCCTTTGACCATTGTCGCTTGCTGATTATAGTCCCTTCGATCTCTTTTGCTTGCCGACTACCTCTGTCACTCGCTGATTATGATTACTCCGACCACCATCGCTATCCCACTACAGTCCCTCTGACATCCTTCTCTTGTTGTCTATTTCTGTCGCCCGTCGACTATGATTCTTCCGACCTCTGTTGCCCCACCGACTATGATCCCTCTAACAACCGTCGCCTAGTGACTATGGTCCCTCTGACCAATATCGCCCATCAATTATGATCCCTTCGACTACCGTCACCCACCAACTATAATCTCTCCGACCAATATCGTCTACGATTACGATCCCTCCGACTTCTGTTAGGGATGTAAACCCATGCATTGACTTTTTAAACATATTTGATAACAAAGGAATATTTTTTTTTTTTAGGAATTTTCAGAAAATATACTACATAAAATGCAACTTTATTACAACATTATAGATATTGAGTTACAGCATTAATACATCAACAAAATACATCCAACTTACTCTTCAAAAAAAAAAAAAAAAAACCATGAAAAGGCTCAAAAAAAAAAAAAAAAAACCATGTAAAGGCTCATGTCAAGAGAAACTTGTAGTAGAGCAAAAAAATCCAAACAGAAAGCTGTGAGCAGATTTTGAACGCCTGAAATCCGCTAAGTTTACAAATGATTAATTTTGAACAAAATCCATGTACATGCTTTAATTGAACACACTTTGACAAAATGCATGCTTTCATTTTTCAATTACATTATACAAAATGCAAAGCCTGCATAAATATGGCTTACCAAGCTTAATGTGAACCAAAATAACATCAGTTTCAAAGCAAAATGAACAAGTTAACAATAGTTTAGCACAACAAGGATTATAACAGTAGAAGGAACATAAATAAAAAGGAAAAAATGGTGAAGAAATAAGGATTATAGGAAACAATTTAACATAACAATAAAACTACAAAGTTAACCAACGAAAGTAATTTTTCCATGCTTCTATCAACTTCGTCATTAAGTTTTTTTGACCACCTGCAAATGACAAAAAAGAGAGTTAGCCTACTTGCATAAATTTATGATGGGTCTCAACTTTGATTTCACAATAATGTCCAATGTCATCTCAACATCGAAGTCTACGTCTTTACAATGTCTACATTTCTGAACCATCTCAACATCAAAGTTTGATTTTATCTTGACATTAATGCTCAACGCTAGCAATTTATACACCGACAACTTGCCAACTCATCTTTGTCTGACGTTGTCTTAAAATAAACAACTAACGACCTCTCATACAACATCGACGACAGACTTCTTGACATCAACACCTTATATATACTGAATAACATCAATGCTCAACTCTTGACCGCATATTTTTTAGTTGTTCGATGTAATCCAATGGCTTAGAGATAGGGAGCTTATAAGTATAACAAAACAAATACAAACTGTCAAATCTTATTCTCATCATTTTCGTGATTCCTCCAGGCGCGCGACCCTCTCGGACGGGACGGACGGAGGACGAACGGGAGGTGCTGTTTTGCCGGAGCGACGGAGCTGATCGAACTCATTGAAGGCTTCCTTCTCTTGGTCAAGTTCTCCTCTCCTACCCAATGTGAGTTTTTTAATTTTCACGCACTTCTCCTTGCTTCTATTTGCAGTCGACGGTAGGCTGTGAATCTTGATGAGTTTTCTTGTTTGATGTTGGAAATTGAAATTTCACTCCTGTGCTTCTGTTTCAATGTTTCCTTTCCACCAAAATCTTTGTTTTTTGTTTGAATTAGCCACCGTTTAGAGCAACGCTTTTAAGCCTTAGAGACATTTCATTGCATGATTGATTTATGATTTTGCTAACGAGTAATAATATATGCGATGGCTTATGGCTATGTAAAACAGTAAAAGTGATGTAGCTGTAGGGCATCGTTTGGCTATGTAAATTACCGTTTAGACTTTAGAGCAGCGTTTTTAAGCCATATTTAGTCAAATTTGAGAGTACTAAAAGTAAAATCTGAAAACTATTTGAGATTTAAATCTAATTTTTTTTAATAATATTATTATTTATTACATCATTCCGTTTAACTCCGATTCAAACCCAGTTCGACCGTAAGCCTCTTCTTCTTTTCATTCGTTGTTGGATTCGATTTTTAAAACCGTAAGCCTCTTCTTCTTTCCATGTCTAGTGCCTACGTCATGTTAAATTCGTAACCATGAAGCTTCCGGCATATTTAATTTTAAGACAATCGTTGTCGTTGAAATTACCAAACTAGACATGCGTTCCTACAAGAGAGACAAAATCTTTGTTTTTTTTGGATTGGCAACCCTTTGGGTCATTTCATGGAGACAATCTTTGTTTTTTATTTGAATTAACCACTGTTTAGAGAAACGTTTTTAAGCCTTAGAGACATTTCACTGCATGATTGATTTATGATTTTGCTAACGAGTAATATATGCGATGGCTTATGGCTATGTAAAACAGTAAAAGTGATGTAGCTGTAGGGCATCGTTTGGCTATGTAAATTACTGTTTAGACTTTAGAGCAGCGTTTTTAAGCCATATTTAGTCAAATTTGAGAGTACTAAAAGTAAAATCTGAAAACTGTTTGAGATTTAAATCTAAATTTTTTTAATAATATTATTATTTATTACATCATCAGGTTCGATCCCGATTCGACTGATTCGATCGTGAACTTCTCATTCTTCCGATTCATTGTCCGATTGAATTTTCAAAACGTTGATATTTTCAATAATTAAGGTGTAGCATGTATGTCTAGTGCCTACGTCATGTCAAATTCGTAACCATGAAGCTTCCGGCATATTTAATTTTTAGACGATCGTTGTCGTTGAAATTACCAAACTAGACATGCGTTCCTACAAGAGAGAGAGAGCTTGCTAGCGACCCAGCGAGGCCATTGCCTTGCTGCAACTTCGCCTGGAGGGGGGAAATAGATACCTTTCTGCTCCAGAAAAGCCATTCCTGGGCGAGGAAGGGGATTGGAAAGAAAGCGAAGTTTTTTTTCCCTTTTCGTTGGCTTGTGGGATTTCGAATGGCTAAACCTTCATCATCCAATTCCCTGCGGCAGCCATGTTCACCACCCAACAGCCACAGTGTGATCGAGGAGGAGCCACCGATGGGCAGCGTTGAGGGCGAGGAAGAAGAGAGGAAATTGTACGTGGCTGTACCTGAAAAATTGAAGGAAGGGATTGAACTGGTGCTATGGGTGCTTCGGAATACATCCACCGACAAAAAGATTGTGATTCTCCATGTTCATCGTCCACCTAAGCTTTTACCAATGAGTAATCTCTCTTCATCCGTACTCTTTCGTCCATGGAATGGTTTTCCTAATTCTTTTCAAACTGGTTTGAAGCATAACGCATAATTTTAGTACTGGATTTTAGGCTTGAGGTGGGTTGGATTTGTTTATTGGTAGAAAGCCCTTTTTTTAGATTTGCGCTTTTTGAACCTTTTCCACTTTATGCTCTCATATAGCTGAAACTCTGAAAGGTCTTTGGTTAGTTTTTGTTCTTTTTGTGCTCCTTATTCATGATTCTGTAGAGGATTTGAGCCTTGTCACTTCACAAAAATTATGAAACCATCTTTTGGCAGAACAGCTAAAAAAAAAGTTTTTTTAAAACTTTTTTCTCATAACAAATATATTTCCTGATCCACCATATTCATTCACAAATTTCTTGCTTATTTTTTATTTGTTAGTTGACTTAATATTTTAACTTGAACTAATTGACTTTTTCCATTTTGACTCAAGTGGGAGCAATGGTTCCTGTAAGCAAACTGGGGGAGGAGCATGTGAGAATATACAGACAGCAGGAGAAAATGATGGTGGAGAAATCTTTGGATGAATACCTGGTTATGTGCTCTAAATCAATGGTGCGTTCATTGCTTGTCTGATCCCCATTTCTATTTTTAGGCATGATTGTTCCAAGACTTCTAAGAACATTCAAATTCTACACTATTCAGATATTATTTCCGGTAGTTTTTAGGATTTAGGGTTTAAGGTTCAAGAAGTAGCACATTCAAGCAAAAAAATTACTTCTACAAAAAAGATCTATTACATCAATCGAAGCAGTACATATTGCTCTTGACATAATATTTGCAGCTTGAAGCATGAGATTGAGATATTTGATGGTTTGAAAAGTTTGAGTTTTCAGAAACCAAGATGCAAGGTTTATTGTTCCAGCTGGAATATTAAAGGAAGTTATGAGCCATTTGAATGTGCTTGAAACTATGAGTGAAGAAGACAAGGTAGATATAGATAAAAAGCTCCATTAATGATCCAAGTATGATTGGCATATAAGGTTTGATAGAGGTTTTAGCAAGCACAATTGCGAAGCTGTTGTGATTTAAGTTAATGAATAAAAACCTCCAATAAATTTGATAAAAACTAAAGATTATATTTGCATCAAGTGTAAGAAGCGACACCATTAAATCACTTCTTGCGAAAGGATTCATTCTTAAAATTGTACTAATGAAAAGCTGACTGAGAGATAATTAGATAGGGGAATATCTTTTTAAAGGGTTCTATTCTTAGTCATGGTAGAATTAAGCTTATGGCCTTCATAAAATGTGACTTTTATTGCAAGAAAATATAACACATTCACAGATATTAGTAAGCTTTGAACGGGAACAAGTAACATATCAAAGAAAATCATAAAAGAATAAGTAGATACGAGCATTATTGCAGATTAGTTCAGTCCAGATTTGGATGACATTTCTTCGGTGATTACTGAAAAGAGATGCAATAATCAATGGGCCAAGAATAAATTAGTGTGTGCAAGACGTTTAGTTTTTCCATCAATTTTTTCAATCTTCTTCATGAAAGGAGAAAGTTTAGCCAAAATAGCCAGCAGACATATCTGTCTTTTATTTGGAAACAGGGATGGAAATTCTAAAATCCTCTACAGTTAAAACTGGGCTAAAGAATAAATCATGATTTTGCAATCCTTAATATAATTGCTTTCTCTGTGCATAGTTTCGAGCAGAGAAGCTAGTTGTTGAGAATGATGATGTTGGCTTGGCGATTGTAGAACTTGTTGCAAGCCATAGAATCAAAATGCTTGTCATGGGAGCTGCTGCTGACAGGCATTTCTCAAGGTATAATAAAAAGAGCTGCTTTTTATGTGACCTGAAAGGAGAAATTATTCCGTGCGGAGTCAGGATGGTAAAGAACCGTCCGGATGTGAGTGTACACAGTGTGTATACTGAATATAATCTTGTACACAATTTAGGTTTGTTTATACACATTGTGTACAAACACTGTGTACACTCACATCCGTACAGTTCTTTACCGTCCGGACTCCGCACGGAATAATTTCTCCCGGAAAAAAGGAGTAGTTCTTTTGCATTGAAATTTGTTTAAAATATGTAACTATTTATGTATCCCTATTATTCAATGCTACAGGAAAATGACATCACCGAAGTCCAAGATTGCAATTACTGTCCAGCAAAATGCACATTCGTTATGCAAGATCTGGTTTGTTTGCAAGGGGCAACTGATATGCACCAGGTTAGCTAAATGATTCCTTGAGATGACTTCCAGTCGATTCTGAGCAGATTACTTGAGATAATAAGAGTAGCTTACTTGGAATAAATTTGAATTTTGTAGATATCTTTTTAATAGACGTTAATAATTAAAAAGCTAAGATCCTTTTTTACATTTAAAAGTTTATTTCATTATAATGAACCTCTCCAATAACTGAATTTCATTTTCAATAGGGATGAAGCTACTAATGAATATTCCAGTTTAAGCTCCTCGGATCAGCTCAGATCAAAATCCCTACCACAAATGCAGCATGAACATTTTAACCAGGTTACTAGTCCTATGCCGAGGTCAGCTTCTGAAAATGCTGTCCCATTTAGAAGAAGACCACCCATGCTAAAATTTTCATTGCCAAGTCTCTTTAGAACACCAGCAGCTAAGAGTGAGACTTCTACGGATGGGACTATGAGCTCAAGGAGTTCCCTGACTTCGAGTGATTCAAACTGGTTATGGCCAACTGATGACTTCAACAGCAGCAATAGAACTGTATCAAGGCACAAGGAGGATGATGGTGATTCCTCTTCAGGAATGGTAACCAGTCAACAAGATTTTCATAATCTACAGCTTTCATCTACTTTCCATGAGCTGGTGAGTCAAACGAAGTTGAGATCAAACTACTTGACCCATCAAAATTCATTATTTTAAAAAATAGAATGATACAGGAAGGTGGAGATTTCTTGCGTGATGTGTATGATAGATTGGAAAAAGTCCAAACTGAAGCAGAGAACTTCAAGCACGAGGCTTACAGGGAAACAATTAGACGTCAGAAAGCTGAAAGGAATGCAATTGAGGTTGCTTGGAAAGTAAGTCATAAACTATGTATCCTATTTCTGACATAAATGCATTAACTAACTATAATGGCCCCTTTCATAGGCCAAAGCATCAGAGTCCCAACATGCCAAGGAACTGAAACAAAAAATAGAACTCCAGAAAATGCTTGAAGATGAAATAAAGGAGAATGAAAGGCTAAAAAATGATCGCGATAAAATGTTTCGAGGACTACAGGAGGCACGGGCGCGTGAAGCAGAGATGGTATCCTGCGCCGCTGAGAACAAGCTCCTGCTCGAAGAATTTGAAGATAAGCTTTCAGAAGCCAAGGATAGCCTTGAAAAGCTGAGAGCTGAATGTGAGGAGCTGAAACAAGCACGGGACATTGCAATCCATGAAGCTCAAAATTTACACCAGATGACTGGGAAGTCATCTAGCGGAGACCAACAGCAAGTCAAATTTTCTGTATTCTCCTATTCTGAGCTTCAAGAAGCAACAAAAAACTTTGATCATTCCCTCAAGATTGGTGAAGGAGGATATGGAAGCGTATACAAGGGCTTTCTCCGCCACACAACGGTCGCCATAAAGTTGTTAAATTCCAAAGGCATGCAAGGGCAAGCAGAATTTCGTCAAGAGGTGTGGTAAAACTGATAAAACTGATACTAACAAACTGATTCATTATCAGTTTATCACTATCAAACATATATTATTGGACTCATAATGCAGGTTGAAGTTCTGAGTAATGTGAGGCACCCACATCTTGTAGCACTCATTGGGACTTGCCCTGAAGCTTGGGCACTTATCTATGAATATCTTCCTCATGGCAGCCTCGACGACCGCCTTGCCTGCAAAGATAAGACTGATCCTCTTCCTTGGGATGTTCGTATACGAATAGCGGCAGAAATCTGCTCTGCTCTCATCTTCCTCCAATCAAATAAGCCCCATGGCATCGTTCATGGAGATCTAAAGCCTGCCAACATTCTCCTTGATGCCAACTTTGTAAGCAAGCTTGGTGACTTTGGTATCAGCAGGCTCTTAGCCCAGTTCAATTCCACTCACACTCCCTGTTGGAATACCAATCCTAAAGGCACCTTTGTATACATGGACCCTGACTTCATTTCCTCTGGGGATATTACGCTCGCCGCAGACATCTACTCTTTTGGGATCATACTTTTGCGCCTCTTGACCGGAAAACCTGTACTGGGGATCATTAGCCAGGTTCAAGAAGCTGTTAGTAATGAGAAGCTGCATTCAATCCTGGATCGTTCTGCGGGGAAGTGGCCTTACATACAGGCAAAGCAGCTGGTACAACTGGCCTTGAAATGCTGCAACGTCATGAGAAAGAACCGCCCGAGCCTTGATGGAGAGGTTTGGAAGGTGCTCGATATAATGGTGAAAGTTAATGAACGTGGCAAGCTCCGGCCATTATCGTCTAGCTCTGTTTCACAAAACAGCACCAGCATTCCATCTTACTTCATCTGTCCAATCTCTCAGGTGAGAGCTAAACTCTTCAACGACAAAAAAGGCTTGCCATTGTTTTATGATTTGTATCTAAAATTACAGGAAGTCATGAGGGATCCGCACATAGCTGAAGATGGATTCACATATGAGGCTGAAGTCATAAATAAATGGTTTGAGAGCGGCCACAACATGTCGCCAATGACAAATCGCCAGTTTCAGCATCATAATCTTATTCCAAATCATAGTCTTCGTTCTTCCATTCAAGAATGGCTGCAGAAGAATGCCTAAACTGAATATTTTTGTTCTCTATGTATGGTTCTTTTTATTGCTCTCTCTCATTTTTTTTTTAATAAGCATTTATCTTTCCTAATTAATTTCCCTTAACCATCTGGAAATCAATGTTTTGAACAAAAAAAAAAAAAAATTTATTATTTAGTCAAATATTGTTAGAGCTAATGTTGATCATTAACCTCATTAAGAAGTTGAAAATCTCTTAAATTTAACTTAAGGATGGCTAAAGGTGTATGAGAAGCCATTATTAAATGTGGGGTCAATTATAGAGTATTCTCTATTTACCCCAAGTGGCATCCAAGTCTCTTTGAAGTCTACATTTGAACTTTCTAAGCTAATTAGAAACCTTTCCAACCTTCTACAAATCTCTTTGTAATCGGTTGAATCCAAACTCAAAACTTAAATAAATTCCTAAGTGACCTTTTGGGTTCAGTTTGACTATCGATGGTTCAGTTAATTCTAAACTTGCCTAGAAGCTACTCCAAGACCTTAGAATTTTCCATTTGTGCCCCATTTGGTCGCCTTGGTCAACCCTAGGTTAATTATAGAAAATCTCCTAACCATATGAAAGACCTATAATATTCAACTCCTATGACATTTGGCTTTAGTCAACCCTAGGTAGCCCATGATCTTAGATTTCACCATAGGTGTCTTTGGCTTGCTCTTAGACCACCCTATGGGTCTAAGAGCCTTGATAACTATTTGACCCATGGTTAAAGTAGAAAAGTTATCCTTGACTCTAAATATCCTCAATCCAATTTAAACTAAACCCGATTAAATTGATCTTGAGTTTAAATGATCCTAACCCATTTTAGAAACATTTGAGCTCTAATTTGATTGATGGTCAATTTCCCTTGACCATGGTTAAATGAAGTTTGTCCAATGAGTCCAAATGACCTACCATGTGTTAATTTGAGCTAAACTTAACCTAATCAAATCCAAATCCTCTCAAATATTACTAGACACCACTTAGCAGCCTAAGCTAGTTGCCCAATCTAATCCAACACATTTGGACTAATCCAAAGCTTGAATCCAATTGAACCTAACCCCTTAATGAACCTAAACTATAATGTAGGCTAGGTGCATCCCATGGGCTGCCTTTCCTGTTGTTTCAAGTCTATCCTTATTATTCACTCCTTTTTGAATCAGTTGGCCACCAAACAATTGATTAAAAGAGTCATAATTGCAAGGTAGCAAGTTGTTTCAGCTTTAACTAATAACAGTTTTCAAAAGACCATTGACTATTTTTGTATACTTAGCATCCTCTTGTTGGATCATCCCTAACAAATTCAACCAAGAATTTACACAATAGCTACATGGATAAGCAAGAAAAGATTTAGGATTGTCCTATAAATAGTAGAGCCTCTAATGAGGATTTTTTTTTTGCATTTTGTATTTATCTTGATATCCATAACTCAAGATTTCATTCCCAACCAATTCCTACTATAAAACCAATAACCTCCAAGCTCCAATGAGGTCTACACAATGGTTTTTCTCCCTTTAATCCAGCTATTCCTAGTCACATCAATCTTAATCAACCTAGCTCATTATGATAAGGTCAAGCTCATGTAACAACTTACTTGATCCTAGGTCCATTGGGTGCATATACATGAAATTAGCCCTAATTTGATTTGTGTGGTACATACTTTCTGAAACAAGTCTTAATCCTAAGAAGATCATATCATTGAATTACTCATACTTTATTCTTTGATCCTTCTAAGTCCATTGGATAAAAAATATCCTTTGATCATCAATGATTGAAGTGTAATGCATTGATGGCCTTTGTTCCATGCTAGGGGAAGGAGATGGTGTCTCTAGCATATGATCTATCGTGCATTTGATGAATGACAGAGATTGAGTCGCACCATCCTCTTGTCCTTCTAAGCCACATTTCTAGCATGGTTGATGAACCTCACCATTTAGAAGTTGTCAATCATTGTGTGGCATCTACAAAGCGCATGCACTATTAGCTTGCTGCTTGTGTAAATTGGAGAAAAAGAGCTAAATAATTAAAAACCTTTAGAAAATTATAAGTGATTAATTTCTTCATGAAAATTGACAAATAAACTCTATGTGGATATTTAGAAAAATAAGGAGAATGCAATTGATTTAGTTTTGAATGGATTTGACTCATTCTTGATTTTTTATAGAAAAAATAGTGTTAATGATATAATTAGCACCCTTAATTACTTTTGATTGCTATCAAATTCATATGGGATGTTCATGAGGATCTATTGGGCTTCTTTAATTTTTCTTACAACAGTTTGATGCTTTCTTTAATCTCAATTGAATATCAAAATTCAACACCCATTAAACTTGAATAATTTAAGCCAATTAAAAAAATCCTAAAATTTTGAGACTAACTCTAAAATGCTCCTAGATTTCCAAGAATGATAGGTAAAATATTTTGAAGTCAAATAAAATCATTCATCCCTAAAAATAAACCCTAAAAAATTAAGTTTCATGAACTTTTGAGATAATTTAGAGAATTAATTATGAAACTCTAATTTTAGGCTAGAATTTTGTTCCAAATTGACCCAAAATTTTTATTAAATTCATAATGAATTCAAATAAATCATAAAAATAAAAAAGTAAAATAAAATAAAAAACCCTAAAAAACTAAAACTTAAATAATAACGATTTTTTAGAAAGCAATGTCACTTTCATGAAATTTAAAGATTAATGATATAATAAATTTAATAAATAATCAAAATAATAAATAAATCCAAAGGGTTTTAAATTTTCCGTTCTACATTCCATTTGTGACTTGTGAACCAATGTTCATGAAAATATGAATATATTTGGATGTTCAAAATTTAAACCCTAATCTCTAAGGTCATAATTCTTCTTGATTGGCATAGATTTTAGAAAAGTCATAAAAAATCTAAATATTATTATTAAAATAAAAAATATTTTTGAAGTCGATCTTGATGATCTCTAAAAATAGTGAAAGCCAATTCTCCAAAGTTTTAAAATAAAAATGAACTTTAATATTTTTTTTTTGGTAAAATATACCTTTAAATCAAATAAATAATAACAAATTAGAAACACATTCAATTGAACTCAATTTTTTTAGAGATCGTCATGATATCATACCTAGCAAATAAATCTCATCAAAATTTGAGTTATTTTAATTAAAAAATAAAATCAAATCCATTAAATAATATAAAATTTTAAATGATGACTACCATAAAATTCTAAATTGAATCTAATATGAAATCATAAATGGAGGCCATCACAAAAGCCTGCAATAATAGAGAGTATAAAATTCTTTAATAAAAGAGGGCGACTGGGTGGGTGGCATTCGGACTTCTCTCTTCCAAGCGGTCATGTTTCGTGCGTGCCTGGAGAGTCGTAGTCAGGGGATAGACGGATAGTTATTAGGATGACAAAAAATAAAAAATCTATTTGATTTATTCCATACTTAATGCATCAAATAAAATTAATTATATATTATTACCAAAGTCAGTGGGGGCCCGTTCCCTCAAGGCCCCCACACTGCATCAGCCCTTAATAATGACTTATCATTTATGTTAGAAGGTGAACTCTTCACTTGTAATTTGTAAAGCATACCACAAATACAATATAGTAAAAATAAGAAAAAGACAGAAAGAGATATCAGTAGGGTAATGACGAAAAAGCTCTTATTGTAGAGATGAAAAGAGAGGATACGTAGCATCAACTTCTTATTTCTCCTATCTGGCCCTCATTTTAACCATAAGCAATTATAATCTCTCCCAATCGATAATACATACAAAATGTTGCCATCATCTTTTTTCATATTAAATGTCTTATCTCTCCATCCACATCTTGTTATGAAGTTTAATGAAATTAATATTTGATTTATGTATGATTTTGGATGTAAATACATTTTACTGAATTATGTAAATTTATGGCTAATTGCATATTATATGCATGCCACTTTCTATTTCCTAATCCATAAAAGCAAAATTTTTGGCACATACCCGATTATTGAATTTCAATTGACATATGAAGCCTACCCATTGATGCCGATGAGTTTGTTTCGTCAGGATATTCAGTTTTACTACAAATTTATTAAAATATGAGTACAAATTATCTTGAATTTAATTTTGAAAATTTATAATTTAAATATGTATTAATATTCGTATTTTGATTAAATTGATTTCTGATAATATATAAGTTGTATTTAGTTAAATTTTTTAAAAAAATATAAAGGGTAAAATATAAAATATAAAATGAACAATACTTGCTAATAAAGTAACCTCATCTTTATATAATACATACCACTTAATACTATGTTATTTACATATTTAACACCTAAAATTTTAATATTACATACATACCACCCATAGTTTATTTTCATACCAAATATGAGTGGTAGAAATGAAATATATGAGTGGTAGGAAAGAAATGTAAGTGATATATTTGATATTAAAATAATATAGGGTGATATTCATGTAATATTAAAGTTTTAGATGTTAGATATGTAAATAAGATGTTATAAAGTGATATGTATGTAAATTTCCCTTATATAAAATGTGTTAGATATCTGGGTAGAATAACGGATGATGGACCGGACGAGCGCGGAGTCCTTTTCCTTGGGCTTTTTAGTCCACGTAAACGGACGGCGACCTTGTACGGACTGACGGATGGATGGGTCAATTTTCAGCGAGGCGCTGATTGCGAAAGCGTTCCAATCAATTACAATTTAATATAATAAATAATAACAAGAGATAGAGAAGATATAAAAGGGATGAGTAATATTAATTTAAAAAATAATAATATCCGAATATTCTGTTGTGATTTATATTAAAATTAGCTTAACAATTAATAAGTTTATACTGAAATTAATAATAAAGTTATTTAATATAAAGTCAATCTTAAAGTAAAATAACTTAGATTATTCCCATATAAAAAGCATCAAAATATTCTGATATACTTTTATCATATTAATTATCTAAATAAGGGTTTTTTTAAATATTTTTTTAATTATCTAAATAAGAGTTGATACATTGGCAAAAAATTATCTTGATCGGGCACGAATCTCGAGGCAAAATCAAGTTGG